ATATTATTATATTATTTCTCATATATATATATATATATAAATATAAAATGGCGTGTTCTAATTAACAGAAATCCGCTAATGAAGTCAACTGCCTCCACCTTTTTTGTCTTTGGTAACATCTTAGGTCATTGGTCACAGCAGTCTCATACAGTTTCCTGTCTTCGATAAGCTTTTCTGAAATTGATAATACACCTAAAATGTTTTTGTGAAGTTGTTTAGGTTGTGGTCTATTCTCCTGACACCAAATCAATCTGAACATTCGCATTTTTATGGAGTTCAGCTGCTGTTCGTGTCTCTTCAGGGTAGCAAAACACCACGCTCCGTAAAGAAGCACAGTCTTATTATCGTTCTGTAAACGTTGCCATTTAGTTTAATGAACATCCTGCCACACAATACACAGCTCAGACCGTTTGAATATCATCGATTTCTCAGTTCATTTCCCAACTCTCTTGCAAAATGGAACCAAGACACTTGAATTTTAGAGCTTGAGGCAGCATGCTCCCTAGTATTTTCACTGATTTCATGGTTTCTAATCTGTTCTGAAGTAGCCCGCCATATCTCACTTTCCTTTGTTGAGTCGAAGACCGTTCTTCTCAAGGGCCGTTCTGCATGCTTCATTATTGCTTCTAGAGCTTCTCTGCTTTTGCTGTAGAGCTCAATGACCATCTGCACAGAACATGCAAAATGGGGCTGCTTCATGCAAATCGTCCGTTACTGCGCCTGTCGTCATCGAGGACATAATCAATTTAGTGCAGATCAGTTACAGACTCAAACCTCCACAGGGAACTCTTCCGTTTCGCGCTACAAACATTCCGTATCGAATTCTTCAGAAGCAAACGTACTGATATTATAAGCACGAAGGTAGGCTTTTTCTCGAATCACGAATTACAAATTATTCAGACTCGTAAACATATTTTTGTTCTGCATTATATTTAACAAGAAATTCGAAATTAGAATAAAATAGTTTCGAATTAATGAAATATACAGTAAATACTGATTCCCATAAGAAAAAAATTAATGTACAGCTTTTAGCGGTAGCCATGTGAAAAACGTGTTGCAAGTCGTAGCCCGCAAATAATTAGAAGACTGCGTAACTTCATGTGCCTACAAGACCATCCCCTCAATCGTCCTGCTCAGAGGGAAACACTTCTAAGTGTAACAGCTTTAATCCATTTAACAGTCTTTAATGCTCATAAAGTAAGGTTCATAAATTTAGAGTTTAAAACTAATCGCCTTATTGTCTGATAATTTAGGAAACAGATTAGGCAACATCTTCATGAATTATTAAGCATATGAGACGAAAACGCGATTTGGCATTCTCGAATTTCTGATAACTTAAAAATGTGTCATGACACTTATGCAGAGATAGACATAAATCATTGAGTATATGTTGATGAATTGCCTATGGGTATCCATTAATTGTTAATGTCGATTAATTGCACCGATGTAAAATTAAATAGATTCTCATGCACAGATGTTTATTTCAACGACTAAAAACGTGTTTATAAAAGCGTGCTTGTCGATACGCACTTTTAACGACGTCTTTTCTGACAGATTAAAATGGAAACTAAGCTTTGAAATCACTCACTTGTTCATATTTCTCCAATTCAGAATGATATACGTTTCGAATTTGGGCTAATTTGGCACGATAATCGGTCTGATCGGCTCCGTTTTCAGGGGCTACCGGAGTGCTCTTGTCCGGTCCGGCCACTCCTTCCGCAATAAGCATGTTATCCAGTCGCATCAACTGCGGATCAGCCGGCTCCTCTTCCGGTGTGTTACGGATAGACAGTACTAAAACATGGATTAAGTACTAAACAACAACAAAAACACGCTAACATCTAACTCGTTGATCAAATAACATTAAACGAAAAAATTGCCTGCGGTCAACTTTTAATCTAATGACAATAAAAGTTATAAACTATGATTACTGTAAGTACTACTAGTTCTGAGGCAGATTTTGCTGTCATAACCATTCAAAACAACCTATCTTTACCAACAGAGCCATTCGAAGTAACGACGTCATGAAAAAGTCGAAGATCACAGTTAGCTTGCTTTATCAATATGAATAAAACACTTGTTTCTCGTCGATGAATCGATCAGTGGAAGAAAAATTAAACAGCTGTAAATTTACCATCAACTAAGACTTTGTGAGCAGTTTTAAAGATATAAACCTATTTTATGCGAACGATGGTTTTAATTCACAATCTAAACTTTCGAGATAAGCTCATAACTGATTATACACGTTCACAAGCAAAGATAAGACGACCGATGTTTCATTATTTGTTAGCCAGTCTTTTCAGAAACTTATCGGCAAGAAAGGCCATTAGGGAAAAGAGTATATATCTGTTTCTCACCCTCATCTCCCATCGTCGAATTTCTTTTCGGGTCGCGGAAGCAGACGCGTCAGACAGAGCTTCAAACGTCCCCGATCTTGTGCAAGAGTCTGAGCTTCGGCAAAAGCCAACTGGAATCTGGAACAGACATCTTACATATATTTGTACTAGGCAAATCTTGGCCGTCCCTTGGGCCTTTTGATGCTCGGATTCCCAACGCATGGACAAACCATCACACCTGTGACTTGTCAATCTGCAGAAGCAAAGGTTCTACACTAAGGCACTTCCGGATGTCAGTATTCCGGACCATGACGAGAGGCATAAAGCCAGCGACTCATCAAAGAAAGCCCATTTCAGCAGCTTGTACCAGGGTTCGAAGTTTCCAGTGATGATCCACGACTCCTGACCGTAGGTAAGCAAAGGGATAAAGATCGACTTGAATACTGAGAGCTTAGTTTTCAGACTGAGCTCTGCTTTAGTCACAATGGGTCGAGCTGGTTCACGCAGAATGCCACTGGCTACTCCAATTCACCGGTCGATCTCTTCCTCCAACTTTCCATCACTAGTAAACACAATTCCGAGGTCTTGAACTTTTCCATCCGCTCCACGGCCTCTCCGTTAAACGAAAGAGAGCAACAGGCAGGAGAACGAGAAAGCACTAGGCCTCTCGTTTTACATGCGTTCATACACATGCCGGTTACGTCGCACTCAGCTGCGAACCATTTTAGAGAGCACCGAAGATCAGTTCCAAAAGATTCTAACAAAACAAGGTCGCCTGCGAAAAGCAACCTTCGCGTCTATACATCTCCTAC